ACAAGACAGTCCTTGATGAGCACTGACTTTTGGGTTATCCAGGGTGGTTAACCCTTGAGTTAAAAATCCTGAAACAAATCTTATCCTAATCTTAATTCATATTATGGGAATGGATCTTAAATATGACACTTTGCTTTCCTCAGCATAGTATTTTTAAAGCAGTTACTTGACATACATCCAGCTATTTAGGGTAACTGGTATTAAAAATACTTGAGACTGCAAACAATGAATTTTTGATACACCAGCTACATCCCCACAGAGGCAGGGTAACCCAAAGGAGAAAACGCACTGACCATCAATCATTTCAAATATCCGTCCTGTCAGAAATGTTGCAGACATCACATTTAACCCTTTGACTGTCGCGCGCCGTATATATTACGTGTGTGATGAATGGTTTGAAAAACCGACAAGTTGAAGGATTGAGACACTTATGCAGCATATGGAAATCTTTGTTCAGGAAAACGTTTGCCACACAGTGGCTTCATCAGTCCAATACAAAGAGGAAGGCATAAGGATTACGAGGAGTTATGAGGTAATCAGTCCCTCAGCCTGGAGTCGATGTGTTCTTTCAGTCCATCAATCTTGTAGAATGTACAGATAGGGCGGAGACGTGGCTTATATACTGTAAGTGAGGTGGGTGATGCTGGAGGAAGGCGGGGTCATGTGGACCTATCCACTAGTCGAAGTAGGTCTTCATCCTAAGGTTGAACAAGTGTTGAGAATTCTTTTGCATAACAAAGATCCCATGATGCTGCAGTGTCTGACAGGTTGTGTGAATGGTTTGAAAAACCGACAAGTGAAGATTGAGACCATATGCAGCATATGGGAATCTTTATTCAGGAAACGTTTCGCCACACAGTGGCTTCATCAGTCCAATACAAAGAGGAAGGCGTAAGGAGAGGAGGAGTATGAGGTAATCAGTCCCTCAGCCTGGAGTCGATGTGTTCAGTCCATCAATCTTGTAGAATGTACAGCATAGGGCCGTAGACGTGGCTTATATACTGTAGTGAGGTGAGGTGATGCAGGAGGAGGCGGGGTCATAGTGGTACCATCCACTAGTCGAAGTAGGTCTTCATCCAAAGGTTGAACAAGTGTTGAAGAATTCTTTGTAACAAGATCCCATGATGCTGCAGTGTCTGACAGTTGTGATGAATGGTTTGAAAAACCGACAAGTTGAAGATTGAGACACTTATGCAGCATATGGGAATCTTTATTCAGGAAACGTTTCGCCACACAGTGGCTTCATCAGTCCAATACAAAGAGGAAGGCGTAAGGAGAGGAGGAGTATTAGGTAATCAGTCCCTCAGCCTGGAGTCGATGTGTTCAGTCCATCAATCTTGTAGAATGTACAGCATAGGGCCGTAGACGTGGCTTATATACTGTAGTGAGGTGAGGTGATGCAGGAGGAGGCGTATACATACACCTCGTAAGACGTATATATACGTCTTACGAGGTACCGTGTTTGACGTATATATACTCATAAATTCTAGCGGCTTCAAATCAAGCAGGAGAAAGCTGGTAGGCCCACATGTGAGAGAATGGGTCTGTGTGGTCAGTGTGCACCATATAAAAAAAATCCTAGAGCACGCAGTGCATAATGAGAAAAAAAAACTCCGACCGTTTTTTTTTAATTAAAATGCCGACTTTGTGGTCTATTTTCGTATAGTATTTATGGTTGTATTCTCGTTTTCGTGGTCGCATTTGATAGAATGGAAAACATATTATAGAAATAGAGGTGATTTTGATTGATTTTCCAATAAAAAGTACCTAGAAATAGAGCTCAAAGTAGGAGAAATGTTTGATTTTTGCCAATGTTCAAAAATAAATAAATGATGCCATTGTCCAATAAATGTCCAACTAGCCATTCTAATATACAGTCATGAATGGGTTGATGTCATTTATACAATTATTACAGTATTGCAGTAGTCTGCATAATACAGTGGACCCCCGCATAACGGACGCCTTGCATAGCGGACAATCCGCATAGCGGACGCTTTGATCGCTAAAATTTTGCCCCGCATAGCGCCCAAAAACCCGCTCAGCGGCCTTCGTCCGAGACGCGTCCAATGTGCGGCCTGAGCCAGCCTCATATGTTCCGCCGGTGGCATTGTTTACCAGCCAGCCTCCGCGGTAACATTCAAGCATACAATCGGAATATTTCGTATTATTACAGTGTTTTCGGTGCTGTTTCTGGAAAATAAGTGACCATGGGCCCCAAGAAAGCTTCTAGTTCCAACCCTACAGCAATAAGGTTAGAATTCCTATAGAAATGAAGAAAGAGATCATTGATAAGTATGAAAGTGGAGTGCGTATCACCGACCTGGTCAGGTTTGTACAAGAAACCCAAATCAACCATCTCTTCTATTGTGGGCAAGAAAACGGCAATCAAGGAAGCTGTTCTTGCCAAAGGTTTAACTGTGTTTTCGAAACAAAGATCGCAAGTGATGGAAGATGTTGAGAGACTCTTATTGGTGTGGATAAATGAAAAACAGCTAGCAGGAGATAGCGTCTCTCAAGCGATCATATGTGAAAAGGCTAGGAAGTTGCATGAGGATTTAATTAAAAAAAGGCCTGCAACTAGTGATGATGTGAGTGAATTTAAGGCCAGCAAAGGTTGGTTTGAGAGATTTTAGAAGCGTAGTGGCATACATAGTGTGATACGGCATGGTGAGGCTGCCAGTTCGGACCACAAAGCGGCTGAAAAATATGTGCAGGAATTCAAGGAGTACATAGAAACTGAAGGACTGAAACCTGAACAAGTGTTTAATTGTGATGAAACAGGCCTGTTCTGGAAGAAAATGCCAAGCAGGACCTACATTACTCAGGAGGAAAAGGCACTCCCAGGACATAAGCCTATGAAAGACAGGCTTACTTTGTTGATGTGTGCCAATGCTAGTGGTGATTGCAAAGTTAAGCCTTTATTAGTGTATCACTCTGAAACTCCCAGAGCATTCAGGCAAAGAATGTCCTCAAGGATAAATTTGTGTGTGCTGTGGAGGGCAAACAGTAAGGCATGGGTCACTAGGGAATTTTTCTATAACTGGTTTACACCATGCATTTGCCCCCAATGTGAAAGATTACCTAACTGAAAAGAAATTAGAACTTAAGTGCCTCCTGGTGTTAGACAATGCCCCTGGTCATCCTACAGACGTGGCAGAGCGACTTTATGGGGACATGAGCTTCATTAAGGTGAAGTTTTTGCCTCCTAATACCACTCCTCTCCTGCAGCCCATGGACCAGCAGGTCATTTCCAACTTCAAGAAACTGTACACAAAAGCTATGTTTCAAAAGTGCTTTGAAGTGACCACAGACACTCGATTGACTCTAAAAGAGTTTTGGAAGGATCACTTTAATATCCTCAATTGTGTAAACCTTATAGGTAAGGCTTGGGAGGGAGTGACTAAGAGAACCTTGAACTCTGCTTGGAAGAAACTGTGGCCAGAATGTGTAGACAAAGGGATTTTGAAGGGTTTGAGGCTAACCTGAGAGGAGTATACCAGTTGAGGAATCAATTGTGGATTGGGGAAGTCCTTGGGGTTGGAGGTTAGTGGGATGATGTGGAAGAGTTTGGTGGAGGAGGACAATGAAGAACTAACCACTGATGAGCTGATAGATCAACTTCAAGAGCAAGAGGCCAGACCTTGGGGAAACTGGTTCAAAGGAGGGGAGAGAGAAATTGAAGGAATTGCCTACTTCAAAGATTAAGGAAATGTGTTGCAAAATGGCTTGAAGTGCAAACCTTTTTTGATGAAAATCACCCTCCACACAACTATTGCAAGCCGTGCTGGTGACTGTTACAATGACAATGTTGTGAACCACTTTAGACAAATCATAAAGGAACGAGAGGTACAGCCACTATGGACAGATATGTTGTGCGAAAGAAGTCCAGTGACTCTGAAGCTGGTCCTAGTGGCATTAAAAGAAGAAGGAAGTAACCCCAGAAAAGGACTTGCCTCCTCAAGTCTTAATGGAAGGGGATTCCCCTTCTAAACACTAACACTCTCTCTCCCCTCCTCCCATCCCATCAATCATCACCAGATCTTCAATAAAAGTAAGTGTCATGTAATTGTGCATGCCTTTTTCAGTTTGTGTGTACTAAAATTAACATTTTTTTGTGGTAAAAAAAAATTTTTTTCATACTTTTGGGTGTCTTGCACGGATTAATTTTATTTCCATTATTTCTTATGGGGAAAATTAATTCACATAGCGAACATCTCGCATAACAGCCAGCCCTCTTGCACGGATTAAGGTCGCTATGCGGGGGTCCACTGTAGTAAGTCTTCTATTTTTTGTTTGAATAAAAATTCAAAATAGAAAGCAAGAGTAATATCAGAGGGGCCTGGAGACATGACTGATGAGCAAAGAAAATGTTATTTTAGAGCCAGGAATGTCTGCATTGTTCATTCTGGACCTTATTTTGAAATTGTCATATTTTTTAGTTTTCGTGAAATTGGCCAAATTGCAAATTTCTGACCACATTATTAGGTAGTTGAAATCGGTAAATGGGCAGTTTCTTGTACTCAATTGATAGAAAAAATGGAGTTCTAAAGAAATAGCTATGAGTTTGGGCGACTGGAACAATGGAATTAACCGAAAATAGGGCTCAAATTGGGCGAAATTGCCGATTTGTAAACAGCGCCGAGGTCGCTAACTTCTCGAGAGCATAATTCCGTCAGTTTTCCATCAAATTTCGTTTTTTGGTGTCATTACAACTGGGAAAAGATTCTCTATCATTTCATAAGAAAAATTTTTTTTTTTTTTTTTTTAAATTTTTTGACACCAGGAGACACCTCAGGATTGGGGGTTGCGACAGTCAAAGGGTTAAATAATCTTGTGAATACAAGCACTGAACTTCCCACCTTCAGAACTCAAGTCCAACTACACAATTTTCCTGAATCCCTTTGTAAAGATTATCTTGCTCACACTCCAACAGCACATATACTCACAACCAAAAGGAAACCAAGAGCAATAATTAATGTTTTTACAAATTTCCCACCCAGGATGGTGCCAAGACCAGACCACACAAGAAGATGCATGGCGGCAGCGGTACATTTGTCCACCCAATTTCATTCGATTAGGACACAGTTGCTATTACTTCAGCAGTGAGATTGCCACATGGCATAATGCTCACTTTGAGTGCAGAGACTTGCAGAGTCAACTTGCTTCTCTGGAATCACAATGGGAGGATCAAACTGTCCTCAACTATCTCAATAAACCTGAGTTTGGTAAGTTGACAATTTCTAATACAGTAATGATCAATGTTAATAAATGGTAGCAAACATCTAGGGAAGTAATAATCTGACAAGAGTTTTATTACATCCTTACTAATTTCCTTTCTAGAAGCTATATTCTTTACTCAATTTTTTTTTTCAGTGTTAAGACACAAAAAATTTTTTTTAGTAACTACCAATCTCTTCTATGTCCAGATACAACTGTATGCATTGTACACACTTTTTTATTGACATTCTCAATTTTCAAACACAAACAATAAAATTTCTACTGAAATGCTATAAATGGAATATGTATGTATGTACTTTTAAATGCTCAGCATGGTCTTTGGGTTTTTAATAATGAAAACCAATCACTACTGGCTCACAATTTGTCCAAATATTTATGTATCTATCATCATTACAACTTCTCTTTTCAAAGAGAAGAGACACTCTCCAGAAAACTTAAAAAAATAAAAAAGTATCGTACAAAACAGAATTAATCTTTAAAGTGTCAAATGCTCCTTATCTAAAATAGAAGAAAAACTTTCTAGAGGTAATTAAAAGTGAATACAGGAAAGAACAAGGTGATAAAAGTATCAATAAAATAGGCAATAAGAGATTGGATATCAGACTGGAGACAGACAGTATGGAGGAGGTGAATGTGTTCAGATATTTGGAAGTGGACTTGTTGGTGGATAGTTTTATGAGGAAGCCCCGCCTTGACTCCCTGTCGTGGGAGTGTCTCAAACCAATGTCTGCCATGAGAGGAGGTACAAGTACCTCCTCGTCTTTTGAGACCAGATGTCCCCAGGCCTAGCCTCATTTCCCGCCCCCACGAGGCTTAGAGGGAGAAGTTAGGCACCTTGGGCTGCCACAAACACTGCCTACACTTGGCTCAGACAATGTCAGGAGGTGCAAAGGCAGCAAGCACTAAAAATCCTTTAGGAGCCACACCCCAGCTTTGGGCATTAAGCCCGAGTGCTGGGGAAGCTCAAGAATAGGTGTTGCTGCTGCTACTACTTCACTTGTCCATTGCACTCCAGAAATGAGGTGAACCATAGAACTGACAAAGGGGAAAAAGGTGAGTGGTGCACTGAGGCATCTGTGGAGACAAAAAAATTTTATCTGTGGAGGCAAAAAAAGGAATGTACCAGATTACAGTGGACCCCCGCCTTACAATATTAATCCATTCCTGAGAGCTCATCGTAAGCCAAAATTATTGTTAGCCGAATTAATTTTCCCCATAAGAAATAATGGCAATCAAATTAATCCGTTCCTGATGCCCCAAAGTATAAAAAAAAAAAAATTTTTACCACATGAAATACTAATTTTAATACACACAAAATGAAGAAGACACACACAATTACTACTCTTCTAAGAATAGAATACATGACACTTACCTTTATTGAAGATCTGGTGATGATTGATGGGATGGGAGGAGGGGAGAGTGTGGAAGTTATTGTTTAGAAGGGGAATCCCCTTCCATTAGGACTTGAGGTAGCAAGTCCTTTTCCGGGGTTACTTCCTTTCTTCTTTTACTGCCACTAGGACCAGCTTGAGAGTCACTGGACCTCTGTCGCACAACAAATCTGTCCATAGAGGTCTGTACCTCCTGTTCCTTTAAGACTTTCCTAAAATGGGCCATAACATTGTCATTGTACAGGTTGCCAACACGGCTTGCAGTAGCTGTGTCAGGGTGATTTTCATCCATAAAGGTTTGCAGTTCAACCCACTTTGCACACATTTCCTAAATCTTTGAAATAGGCAACTTCCTCAATTTCTCTCTCCCCTCCTCTGAACCAGTTTCCTCAGGTCTGGCCTCTTGCTGTTGAAGATAATCTTGCAGCTCATCAGTGGTTAGTTCTTCGTTGTCCTCCTCCACCAACTCTTCCACATCCTCCCCACTAACCTCCAACCCCAAGGACTTCCCCAATCCCACAATGGATTCCACAACTGGCATACGCTTCTCAGGGTTAGCCCCAAACCCTTTAAAATCCCTTTCTTCTACACATTGTGGCCACAGTTTCTTCCAAGCAGAGTTCAAGGTCCTCTTAGTCACTCCCTCCCAAGCCTTACCTACAAGGTTTAATCAACTGAGGATACTAAAGTGTCTGAGGTCACTTCAAAGCACTTTTGAAACATAGCTTTTGTGTAGAGTTTTTTGAAGTTTGAAACGACCTGCTGGTCCATGGGCTGCAGGAGAGGAGTGGTATTAGGAGGCAAAAACTTAACCTTAATGAAGCTCATGTCCCCAGAAAGTCACTCTGCCAAGTCTGAAGGATGACCAGGAGCATTGTCTAATACCAGGAAGCACTTAAGGTCCAATTTCTTTTCCATTAGGTAATTTTTCACAGTGGGGGCAAATGCATGGTGTAACCAGTCATAGAAAAAGTCCCTAGTGGCCTATGTCTTACTGTTTGCCCTCCAGAGCAAACACAAATTAGCCTTGAGGACATTGTTTTGCCTGAACACTCTGGGAGTTTCAGAGTGATACACCAGTAAAGGCTTTACTTTGCAATCACCACTGCATTAGCACACATCAAAAGAGTAACCCTGTCTTTCATAGGCTTATGTCCTGGGAGTGCCTTTTCCTCCTGAGTAATATAGGTCCTGCTTGGCATTTTCTTCCAAAACAGGCCTGTTTCGTCGCAATTAAACCCTTGTTCAGGTTTCAATTCTTCACTGTCTATGTACTCCTTGAATTCCTTCACATATTTTTCAGCCGCTTTTTGTCCAAACTGGCAGCCTCACCATGCCTTATCACACTATGTATGCCACTACGATTCTTATATCTCTCAAACCAACCTTTGCTGGCCTTAAATTCACTCACATCACTAGTTGCAGGCATTTTTCTAAAATTTAAAACTTTATGGGAATTCCGCCTTTTTACAAAAATCCCTTTAGAGATCATCTGTTTTTCGTTTAACCACATCAATAAACCCCCTCTCTCAACATCTTCCCATCACTTGCGATCTCTGTTTCAAAAAAAAAATTGGGAAAATTTTTTCAAAGAACAGGGTTCCTTGTTTGCCGTTTTGTTGGCCAAATAAATAGCGATGGTTTTTTGAGGTTTGCTTACAACTTTGGGCCGCTTCCCAGACACACACTCCCCCTTTGGGCTTAACAAATTTTTCCTTTCCCTTTTTTCCATAAATTTTCAAACCTTTTTTAAACCCCAGTGTTGGTACCAGAGGGTTTCTTGGGGCCCAAGGGGACTTTTTTTGCAGTTACAAAACCTTTAAAAAAACTGTTGGGAAAAAATGAAATGTAAATGAATGTTTTTCTTTGAATTTTGACCGCACTGGTGGGTTGTAAACACCCGGGACCCCCCAAGGCACCTGAGGACACCATGGGATGTGCCCCCCGCAAATCACGTAAGGCGAAATTTTTTTTTCATTAGGCGAGGGGGAAAATTTTTGCATTCAAAAGCTTTGTATGTTGGATTTAATGAAACCCCGGATCATTCGAAAGGTGGGGGTCCACTTATAGTGGAAAACCCAATGCGTATGGGGTAAAGCAGGGGTTTTAAATACTGCATGAGGGGGGGGAGGCGGGAACAGTAAAATGTTGGGGTTTTGGGAAGCAGGTTTGAAATTTTTTCAGAGAATTTGTATTTTTAGAGATTGGAGGTAAATTTTCCCAAAAATATTTTTCAAGGGTTGGGGAGGGTTGAGGTTAGGGGTTTTGGATTTTATAGAATGGAAAAAATGGGAAAACTAAGGGGGTATATAAATCTGGGGTGAAGGGAAGGGGGGGTCAGGGCAGTGGGCACTCAAAAAAATAAAGGGGGGGGCTGCGTGACTAAAAGCCTCAAAAACAGCACAAAAAACATTTTTAAGAATAATTTTAAATTAAACTAAATTTAATAAGAAAAGCATTCACATAACGTAAACTGCACCCCGCCCAAATTTGCAATCCAGAAAAACCTATCATACTATTGTACCACACAACTTATTTTTAATTTTTTTTTATCTCGTTTCAACAAAAAAAAAAAAATTTTCGTTTTATAAAACCGAAAAAAAACTACAACAATTTTTCCTGTAATCACTGTGGGAAATGCAAATTTTTTTAGTTAAGGTTGAAAACATACTCGGCAGTGAGCATCTGGGGTACTCCCAGCCCTAGGACGAGCCGCCACGACAAGGGGAACACAGGGGAAAGGTTTGGAGAAGGGGCAAAATAATTTTTTGCATGCTAGAGGCTGGACACCAACGGAATTTTTAATGAAGAGTGGAGCAAGTGTTTTTAGATCGAAGTCTTTGGAGTGTGAGCAAGGATTTGGGGAAACGTTTAAATTTTGGATTTGACCGGAATGGGAAGCACACCCTGCACTCGGAGGGGGGGGGAATTTGCAAGTGGAAGGCACCGGTTTTTGAGCGGTAACTTCGGCAAACTGGACTGAATGAGTGACAACAAAAGTTTTTTGGCTTTGTCGGGTCCCCTACCCATGGAGATGGCCAATGTTAAAAAATAATTATTATTATTTTAAAATTTAATTATAATTATTTCAAGAAACCCAGCCGTACCCACCAAGGCAGGCGACCCGAAAAGAAAACTTCACCATCATTCACTTTATACTGCCCCCTCCCAAGGTCCCCAAATTGACATTTAGATGTCCCCCAAATAGGAAAACAGGGGACCCCCCCGCAAAAAACATTACCCCCGAATGGACCAATAAAGTGATTTATGTAAGTGTTTTTGTACGTTTTTGGGGGGGTCTGAAAGGGACAAATCTACTTCCAATTTTTTATGGAAAAATTTTCGGTCATACTGGCACCTAACAATTTTCGGGATGAAAAAATATGAAACCCGGGGGGCCACGTATTCCTAAAATCCCCCTTTTGGAATGCAACATTGTACTTCCCACTTCAATCTCAAGACGGGCTAACGGGTTTTCTCTGAAACCCTTCACAAAAAAAACCTTTGCTCATACTCCAACGCTCGCCCCATCCCAAAAGCATTTGTTCCCTTCACTCCTATCTAACAGCTAAAAAAACCCCGCCTGCTGATTATTATTATTTTTTCAACAAACTGACCAACCCCCAGCGGGTGATCTAAAGAGAAAAACAATGTTTCTCTTTTTTATACGAGTAAGTATACAAAAAGGGGGTTCTACCCCTTTCTCCTTCAGTTTTTGTTTGCCTCTTACGACAAGCAAAGGGTTTCAAGAAAATTTTGTTTTCCCCTTCCCTATGGGGATTTAAAAAATTTATTATTTTTATTACGTAATAAAAACTGAAAAACAACTTCCAATAGAACCCATGCACCCCTTTGGGACCAGGACCATTGAAAACTAAAAAACTCTAAACCAAAAGAATAACTGGCACTTTACAAAGCACGCAAGTTTTTAGCAAAACATTACACATCAAGCATGAAAGTCTAGTGGGGGTCCAAAAAGTCATCTGCGTTTTTTTAATAGAGCATGAATTGTTCAACCCATCAAAATGGGTTTAGTGCATGAATTTCCTGCCTCCACAGGTAACAGACCACATGACAAAATCCCGAAGAAATGGAAGAAAACAAAATGAGCACAGAATACAAAACAAAAAGAAGAAAAGGGATGGAAAGATTTTGTAACAATAAATAAAAAGACATAAACGTGCTGGAAAAATAACAAATAACTCCACATAAAAGAAACTCATCTAATTTTTTCTCCTTTTTGCAGTATATTTATGTCAAGATTTTAACTGCCTATTTTTAAGAATATAAAAAATAAACCAAGGGTAAATGGGGTTAAGGAAACTTTCAAAACAAGAAGCCTGCAATGTGGGACCACTGAAATCCTTTTCATCCACTTCTGGAATATTGTTCATGTTTTACAGCTCTTTTTAAAGAAAGGGGAGAAATACAAATCATTTGCTGACGAAAGAAAACAATAAAAACCCTTGAACTCTAGCATGCCTTAAAGCACTTCAACATACCTCTAAAAGGAAAAGAAGAGAACTTTTAAAATATAGCTAGCAGGGAAAACTTTAGGGTCTCCCCCCAATCTGTAAAACTGGTATAAAACTTACCAAGTGAAAAATAAATAAGAAGTGTAAAGTAAAAATCTTTTAGACAGGAAAACCAAAGGCACAATTAGAAAGCACTTTCAACATCTGTGCCCCAAAATTCTTCAAATTTCTATTACTAGATGTAAGAAATTTTTGCCAGAGCCAATAGTACTAGATTTTAAAAGGAAAAATCCTATAAGTGTAAGATCAACAAGGCTGTTATGGCCATGTAAGTCAATGGGCCTGTAATATACCTGTGTGTGTGTGTGCATGTGTGTGATACAACAGCAATAGCCTGGTTTAAAAGACAACAAATAAGTTTGTCTCTAGTCCAATATATAAAGGTATGTCACAACATATGTAAAAAACAATTAGAGGAGAGGCCCAGCTGGGTCTCAATGTTGATAAGTAAATAAGAAAAACATGTGAAAGATAATGTCATGAACACAAACTATTCAACACCATCAAAGAGCATTCACTTTTACATTAGCCTCTGAGCACCATGATGTTAACAATAACTCTTCCCCATCAACCTACTACACACCCTCAATGTGATATTTTGTATATTTCTATTTTATAAAGCTTGTACACAGCAGAAGGTTGTTTGAAGACAAAAGGTCATCCTTGAATAGTGTTTGTCTCAACAAACTATACTGTATTGTGTTGTATTGTGCTGTGTTGTACTGTATTGTACTATACTATACTGTACTGTACTGAACTGTACTATACTGTACCATACTGTACTGTACTGTGCTATATTGTACTTGGTACCAGTTCCTGCTCTTCAACAATATGATTTTAATTATATATTTTTCTGTGGCAAACACAGCTACACTTAACAGATGGGTAGGAGGTATATACAACTGGTCTACCAGGCAGTGGACGTGGGGCTCCTCAGCGGAGGTGATGCCATACAACGGCTTCATGACACAGGACTTTCCTACAGCATCTCGCTGGCACTGTGTCTACCTGGACTCCAGCTCTAACTATCACTGGAAGCATACACTTTGCACCACTATGATGCACTACATCTGTGAGGCACGTCAGACCAGAGTTCATGACCCAAATGAAATTGTTATACACTAAATAAATGCTTTAAAAAAGTTTACTAATGAAAATTCATCCACAATAAATAGTTGTGAAGCAGCAAGATATTTGTCTTATCATTAAAATGCAATAAAGATTAAATTTTCTTACTGATGGAATCCTGAAGGGCTGTCTTATAAGGTTGCAACTATATACAACTAATTTCTTGATTGAGTAATGTAAAGAACTGCCGTTATAGTCTTTGTATATTAAGACAAAATAAAAATATGTATGTGTGAATAATTTTTTTTTTTGAGAAATTACCAAATGATTACTTTTTTTGTAATACATTGGCCATTTCCCACCAAGGCAGGGTGACCCAAAAAGAAAGAATAACCCAAGAAGAAAGAAAAAACTTTCATCATTGTTCAACATTTTCACCATCATTCATACATAATCACTTATGTTATAACAACAACTTGCACTAGCAAAGCAGATCGCAATGTTCCCTATGCCTCCTTCCATCTATCTAAGATTTATACATCTTAGCAAATATAACTTATTTCACTGTTCTTACATGCTTAAAACATAAAAAATTCTACTTCTACTCTTGAAATTATTCCTCACATGTTCTTTTGTTTCTTAATTTCTTATTCTCTATATAACATTCACACAAACACACTGATTTTAATCATGACAACTTCCTACTTCCACTCTTCTGTGCTGCAACATTTGAAGATCATACTTCACATTCATATAAAAGTACTGGCACTGCCACATTCTGATACACTCCCCTTTTTCCATATACCCTTAGAGGCTTACAGATATGACAGTTTAGTGTAAATTTTTTTCAGAATTACTCTCACATCATACATCATTATGTACCTGAATGTAAAAATGTCCAAGAATGTTGAACGACTTTCTTCACATGAGTTCTTTATTACCAAAAATCAAGCAAAGTATCCTTGATTCTGTACTTGATAATGGTTCAGGATAAACAGAAATGTACCTGCAAGATTTCCTCTCCAAACTATAGTGTAGCTGAGAGAAGTATACTAACTTCAATAACCATAAGTGTGTTACCCAAAAGAAAAACTGTTCAGATCCAGTTCCTGGTCCAATTTTGTGCATCTATGTTTTGACTACCACCCACAGGATGGTTACAGGTTGCATAACAAAGCAATCAAATCAGTCTGTCATTGACATATCAAGGAAAACTCATGAGACTAATGTGATAGGAAGTTATAGTATTAGTATTACCCCAATAATAGAAAAGTATGAAGATATCTTTCTTTCTTTCAACACACCGGCCGTATCCCACCGAGGCGGGGTGGCCCAAAAGGAAAAACGAAAGTTTCTCCTTTTACATTTAGTAATATATACAGGAGAAGGGGTTACTAGCCCCTTGCTCCCGGCATTTCAGTCGCCTCTTACAACACGCATGGCTTACGGAGGAAGAATTCTGTTCCACTTCCCCATGGAGATAAGAGGAAATAAACAAGAACAAGAACTAGTAAGAAAATAGAAGAAAACCCAGAGGGGTTTGTATATACATGTATATGCTTGTACATGCATGTGCAGTGTGACCTAAGTGTAAGCAGAAGTAGCAAGACTTCCCTGAAATCTTGCATGTTTATGAGACAGAAAAAAGACACCAGCAATCCTACCATGACGTAAAGCAATTACAGATTTCCACTTGACACTCACTTGGCAGGATGATAGTACCTCCCTGCATGGTTGCTGCTATCTACCACCCTACTACCTATAGCATGAAAATATTAGATCAAATAATTATGGGGAAAGTGGAGAAGAATTCTTCCTCTCTAAGTTACGTGTGTCATAAGAAGTGCCTAAAATGCCAGGAGCAAAGGCTAGTAACCCCTTCTCCTGTATACATTACTAAATGTAAAAAAAAAAGAACTTTATAAAATGGGTCGTCTTTTTCAGGTCACCCTGCCTCAGTGGGAGATGATCAGTATGTTAAAAAATATGAAAGTAAAAACAATAAAAGTTTAGTAAACAAAGTTATTTTCTTAACACACTGACCATCTCCCACTGAGGTAGGGTGACCCAAGAAAGAAGAAACACTTTCACCATTATTCACACTATCACTGTCTTGCCAAAGGCACTGAGATACAACAGTTTAGATGTCACTAAACAGCAAATATCCCAAACCCCTCTTTAAAGTGCAGACACTGTACTTCCCACTTCCAGGATTCAAAACCAGTAAAAAATTGTGTTTGACCTGATGACCATCAGGGTCCTAGCGGTGGGTCTGCCAGTAGAGCTGTGTGTACCATAAAGTTATACCAACAATATGAAAATAATTTCACAATAAAAGGATCCCTGTGAATATTCTTCAAGGTACTGGAATAAGCTACAGCAGAAGCAAAATGAAGTATTACCTTTATGTAGGTACAGAGTGCATCGCCTTTGAAGTTTCCATCTTTATCTCGATACATCTTAATTTTGGGCTTGTTGCTGTCAACATCTTTAAGGATCATTCCACATTTCTGCATCAGCTCAATAAATTCATTCTCTGTCATTGAGTCAGGAAGGTTGCTAACATAGACCTTGGTGTTGTGATCATCATCTATCTCAAACCAGGCTGTAAAGACAAGACAATACTGTATATGCAATATATGCAAATAACAACAATAAATATGAAGGTTGAAGAAGCAATCAAGGACTGGAATCTGAACATGCACACTCGACTAAATGAATACCTTGATTTCCAAGACGACAAAACTGAACAAGATAAGTTGTCTGATGCAGTAATAATAAACAGTCCACACATTCCTAGTGACATAACACAAGCACAGTGCAAAGAAACTGCTATCAGGATAATACAGAACCACGTACAAGTCATCGTGCAAAACAATGAAATCAAAGAAACACGTTTGTTAGGAAAACCAGGAAGTAAACACAGTATAATGATCAGACTTCATTCATACGATAAAAGAAAGGACCTAATTAAATCAGGCAATTACAATGAAAAATGGAGTGTACATAAATGAGTGTCTAACAAAAAAACGTCAAAACCTTCTGTTCAGGCTGAGAAAACTTAAACAGGAAAAACAAAATACACCAGTGTTTCACGCGAGATGGGAAAATACTAGTAAGGAAAACATCAACAGGACAACAATATACCATCTCAAATGAACACGATTTCTCTACCTTCCTTAGAAAAGCTGACATTTCTGTAACAGATTAGATAAGTGCCCTTAATACATATATACGTGTGGTACATATAGTGTACGTTACTATTTATATTGTGCATAATTTTTTTTATTATTTTTCATCACTAGCTAATGCCAACTACCTCCAATACTCTATACTTCTTTCTTACTGCTATTAATTGCTCATAATTTTAAACTACAAGTCAAATCTTACTCCAAATTAATAATATTCATTATTCTTACCTGTCCATTTAATTTTGTTTATCACTACTTGTTTTTTTAGTCACTTTTCATTGTGTATGCAATTAGTGTATATTCCATTACTTTTTTGCAAGTACCAAAACTATCTTTTGCTAGCTAGTACCAACTACCTCATTTTTTTTTACTTTTATTGTGCAATAAACTGCTCAATTTATTTAATATTACAAATCAGATCTTACTCCTAAACCAATATTATTTCATAGTGACCACCTGTCCATTTAACTTTGTTTACCATTACTTAATTTTAGTCCCTTATATATTTTCTCCTTTATTTTAGCTTATATATAACTACCCTAGTTTATATATTCACAATTGTTAAAATAATCAAGGTGCTATTCTCAGGTGCTAAAGTAGAATAGTTCACAATTTTGCCATTATATTCCAAAGCTCATTATTTGATTACCACTTTATTGTTCACCACAACTTATATTAGTCCCTTTTATATTATTATTTTATACTATAATTCTAACTTTAAAGAATTACCTTTATAGTACTACCTACTATCATATTCCCAAGCTCCATTATTTGATCATCACTATATTTGTATTAGTCCCTTTTATATTGTCTCCTTTATTTTAGCTTAAAAAAAAAAAAAAAAAAAAAAAAAAAAAAAACCTTAGCTCATTATTTTACATTTGTTAAATAATTCAGGTGCTATTTTTTAGCTTAAGACTATTTACTTTGGTTTATACTTAATTCTAACTATAGATTCACTACAAATCTTATGATTAACAAGCATTGATCCTGATACCAATCTCTTATTTAATGACTTAAATGAATCAAACAGTTACTGTAATTACTACACTGCAGAACAATCAAAGGCACTTCTCAGTGCCAACAACAACATAACTATCTTTAACTACAATATCAGATCTTTAAGCAAGCATTACGATGACCTCATAGCATTACTAAATTCCTTACATGCCAATATGTCCATCATTACACTAAACTGAACCTGGCTAAAGCCTGTTAGTACAGATGTCTATGCCATTCCTGGTTACACAGCCATACACAACTGTAGGCCAGACCAACAAGGGGGTGGCACAGCCATATACTACTCAGACCAACTAGAATGTATCACTAATACTTGCACAAGGGATGAATCATGGGGATATATAATAGCCAAATTCAATCAAATACCTACAAAAACCTCTCACATTGATAAACATCTACAGAGTTTCCACAGTCAAACATTAGCCAATTTAGTCAAAACCTAGGAAGTATGATAACTGATGCACGCATGAACAAAGATCACTTACTACTCTCAGGTGACTTCAATATAAATCTCCTGCAAGACCAGGACCCACACGTTACTGAATTCACAAACACAATGAGTAACTGTATGTTGCTACCAACAGTAACAAAACCTACAAGAGTTACAGAGACTAGTGTTTCCCTACTTGACCACATCTGGACCAACACCATATCCCCTTTAAAATCAGGCATAATTACAGATAATACCACAGACCACTACCCGACTTTCCTCATAACAACTCTTGGTAAATTACCCAAGACACTACTAAAGTCACCTTCAGACTTCACAATGAGGCAGCCATTAATAACTTCACAACAGCAGTAGCAAACATTGACTGGCACACTGAGCTAGAAATCTATACAGATATTGACGAATGTATTAATAATTTTCTAAAAAGACCCAATACCTCTATAACAAGCACTGCCCTAAAAAAAATAAACAGATGACAGCTAAGAGACTGAACAGTCCCTGGCTAACACCCAGCATTCTCAAATCCATAAATACAAAACACCAATATGAAAAACAGTACAGAATGGGTCACATAACCAGAGACCAAACAAAACGTTACTCGTCAATCCTAACCGCCTGATAAGAAGGGCAAAAAAAATTGTATTATGAGAACAGATTATCCAACTTACGAGGTGATATAAAAAAGACCTGGAAAACCCTATCAGAAATTCTAGGAACAAAAAAGATATCACGAAATAGCGAAATAAAATTAACAAAATCAGATGAACCCCAACTCCCACCAACAGAAACAGCAAACAGACTCAATGATTTCTTCTCCACAATAGGACAAAACCTTGCCAATAAAATCCCAAGCTCAGATACCCCACCAAATGACTACCTCACCGGCAACTACCCGAACACACTGTTCCTAGCTCCGACTAACCCATACGAAGTCTCCCTTATTATCAACACACTAAAAAACAAGGCAGGAGATTTAACCCTTTGACTGTTTCCGACGTATAAATACGTCTTACGAGCCAATGTTTCTGACGTATTTATACGCATAAATTCTAGCAGCTTCAAATCAAGCAGGAGAAAGCTGCTAGGCCCACATGTGAGAGAATGGGTCTCCATGGTCAGTGTGCACCATATAAAAAAAATCGGGGAGCCAGTGGTACATGTGGGAATGCCATTTCAGTTGTCATTTTCAGCATGTCTAGTGGTAAGAAATATGTGATTCCCCAGCAAATCTGGGACTCTTCTCTTCCCAAGTGATGCTCTAACACAGATGGAAGTGTCAGTGAAGATCAATTTCATGATTTTGGAGGAGTTTGAGACCAAAAGCAATGGAGGAGGAGGAGGGGGGAGGAGGGGAGGAAGAGGAGGAGGAGGAGGAGGAGGAGGGAAGGAAGAGGAGGAGGAGGAGGAGGAGGAGGAGGAGGAGGAGGAGGAGGAGGAGGAGGAGGAGAAGAGGAGGAGGAGGAAAAGAGGAGGAGGAGGAGGAAGAAGATGTAATAATATTGTTCCCTTGAAGCAAGAAAAAAAAAAGTCCACCCATGACAGTGACAAGATAAGGGGAGATAACATCTGATAAGAGCTGACTTTGATGAGCGTAAAGGAGGGTAATATTACATGACCATCGCCTCCCTTTGTTTTTGCTGGTACACAAACATTTCTGTCTGTCTATTTGTCTGTCTGTCAAGCTCCCTGTCTGTCATCTAGCTCTCTGTCTCAGAGAGAGCCACAAGACTGTGTCATCACGTTTACTCACATCTTCAAGCAGAGTATAGCACTTTGTCTGGATTTCTTGGGTTATCCTAGGTAATTTACACTATGTATACTTGTATTTATGTGTACCTGTGAGACAGAGATAGGCAACGAAAGAGAGACAATTAAAAGATATAGAATGGGGAGAAAGATAATTAGATGAAGGAGGGGGGGAAGCACATCCGCCCCCATTTTTTTGAAGGGGTGGGGGTAGGGACAAGAACAATTGTCACTTGCACTGCGACTTCGACTCAAAAAAATTATAAGCCGCACACTACCACAAGACAAGAGGAGGAGAAGGGGAAGGGGGGGGAGGAGGAGAAGGGGGGAGAAGGGGAGAAGGAGGAGAAGGGGGAAAAGGGAGGAGAAGGGGGGAAAAGGGAGGAAAAGGAGGAAAGGAGAAGGAGAAAAAAAGGAGAAGAAAAGGGGAAGAAAAAGGAGAAGAGAAGGGAAAAGGGAAAAAGGAAAAGAAGGAAAAGAAGGAAAAAAGGGAGAAAAAGGGAAAAGAAGGAGGGAAGGGGGAAGAAGGAGAAAGGAGAAGAAGAAGAAGAAGAAGAAGAAGAAAAAAGAAAAAAGAAGAAGAAGAAGAAGAAGAAGAAGAAAAAGAAAAAGAAGAAAAAGAATTGTTTTTTTTTGTTTGTTTGTTTTTTTTGTTTTTGTAAACAATTTTTGAAACAATATATTGATAATTATGTTTGTGTCTTTTTGTGTTGTATACAACGAGTGTATATAAACATTGCACCTACTTTGGTCTCATAGCCATAAGTTTTGTGAAAAATAAAATAGGAAAAAAAAACAACAAACTTCCAAATCAAGTAAACTAAAGTTTACCGGGTGGCGGGACGCCGCTGTTGCCATACGCGGGTCATTTTTTGCAAACTTCACGGCTCATATCTCGGTAAGTACCCTGGCAAAATTTTTTTTTTTGGACAAAAACCAGAAAAATAATCTTTAAAAATTTTATAAGAAAAAAATTTTTTTTTTTTTTTTAATTTTGGCGACATAAATGACGTTTTAAGAGGGGCCCGAAACAGTAAAGGTTAAAATACCTTACCACCCCTTTTTATACAAAAAAAGTGTCACAAATGCTATCACCAATCATTGCAACACTCTTTTTCAAATCCATTGAATCCTCCACCTTTCCCCACAGTACTCAAAATGCAAGGGTCACCCCCATCCCCAAAGGAGGAGACCAAAAAAGGGTTTAATAAAATATAGGCCCAAAACCAACTTACACCCTTCTCAAAAAACTTCGGGAAAAATTTTTTTCTAAACGAATCTACTCCTACCTTTTCTCCCAAAACAACTCAAACCCCTGCCATTTGGATTCAGGCCCAATAAAAAAACAATGATGTATTTTTTCACTGCTAGAACATATATACACTGCAATAGGAAAAAAGAATCCCATGGGATCTCTTGACTTACGTAAAGCTTTTGATACAGTTGACCATGACTTGCTCCCCGTAAAATTGTCACATATGGTATAAAGGGGGGACTCCCTCAACTACCTCAAATCATACCTCAGCAACGAAGCCCAAAATGTGTAGCAAAAAGG